TTTTAAATTAGTGACTGCAGTCAGGCTGCTGCATTGTCTCGGGCACTGGCACTGGAGACAACCTCACTGGTATTAGTGCCCTGTCCACTAAGCTGGTCTGTGCAGCAGCTCAGTCCCTGTTCAGTGTCACTGGTAAGAAACACCACTTACCCTCCCTCCAGGTCACCACTAGAATATGGAGCAGACAGCTAGCTCCTCCACCTGCTCCCATAACCACCAAATCCACTCTTCCTACTTTTTTCATAATCGTGTCCCATGCTTGTGTCTAAAAGCCTCTACCCAAAGTTTCCATAAAAATGATAAACATTTCCAGGCTACGCAAGTGACTAGTTCAAGTCAATATAATTTCACTTCTTAAGAGACTGAAAGTATTGGAAGGACACGAGCAGGGCTCCTTGCCAATTCAAAATTCTATGCCAAATGGGTGTTAACTTCTGGGCCTGGAGTGCCCCCAGGAGCCAACAGTATGACATTCTCTCTCACATAGAAAGTCGTATTGGAGTATAGATGTTGGGGATAGTCAGCCAGGAGACTGACAAACCCTGAACCCAGATTCCAAAAGGCTGGGACAGATTTCATATTGACATATGATCATCTGGCTACCGGCCAGAGACATAATATACCATAGGCAAACTGAAAAGAATGATTTTAAAGTAAATGGGTGGGGGGGATTTTAAGGGTAGTAAAAGTCTGAAAAAGTAAAGTTTAATTTTAAAAAAACATATACACAAAAACAACTTCTGGTTCATTTTAAACCTTCCCGCTAGGTCTTTCACAGCCAAGTCAGTTTCCTACTTGAGTCCAGACCACATAAAGCTGCACCCACAGTGGACAGAGAGCCAGTCCCTCCTGAATAGGTGAACAATAGCAACTGCTGCTCAGGCTTGAACAAATGTCTGCGACCTGAATGACTAAGCAGCAAGGCTGGCTTCCCAGGTTGTTCAAAAGGCCAGTTTCTTCATCAGCAGGTAAACTCTGGAATCTACTTCAAATCCATGCAGGTTGTTGGCATCACCCTGCAGCCTCATGAGCAGGCCCCCATAGGACACGTAGGCAGAGCTGAAACAGAAGGTACAATCAGTCCCATGAGTCTGAGCTTTGGAGCAGCTGCTACTCAGCAGCTCTCCAGCCCAGCCTCAGAAAAAGAGGCACCTTTCTAATGTTTTCCCATTAGAAACAAAATTCAGACAAAGGGGAGTGCACAGACATGTGCAAGGCAATGTACTTTATATTAGCAAAGGTGGAAAATACTACATGCCCAGAATAAAGGAAATGGCCAAATCAATTAACATATATCCATTTACTAGAATGTTATACAGCTATTAAATTTTTAGGAAAAGCTTTAAACTGACATGGGAAATATGTTTTACATAACATTAAGTAAAAAGAGAAGAAAACATTGTAATGAACAAGAAGATCTCAAAAAAAAGCACACGGGGGAAAAACCCTAAATTATTCAAAAATGTTTATGTAAAAGGTTCCCTCTGGGTATGGAATTATAAAAGACTTTTTTTCCTTCTTGACATTACTTCTCTGCTTTTCATATTTCTTACAAAGGGCACATATTGTTTTAATCAGATTTTAAAGAAAAGAAAAAGTAGTTGGGCAGGGAAACCAAAGAACTAGGGATTGGGTTGCAGAGTAGCAACATATACACATACATACATACATACATACATACAAACACACACACACCTAGCAGTTTAATTACTTAATGCCACATTTATTTCCTGAGGAAGCAACCTTCCTTTGCACTACACACAGCAAGATTACCAGTTTCTCATTTGGACTACCAAGGAAGAGGCCCTTGCAAAGGGATAAGTGAGTGGCCTGCATTTCAGACTGAAAACTGTTCTCAGAAGTTTCTTTCGAGGTCCTGCTTAGGTCTGCAGTGCTTAGGGAGAAAGACTCAACACGGGGAGCATAAGCATGACCCAAACTCTCAGAACAGGGCAGAGTGAAAGGGTTCTTACAAGAGTAAGGAACTTACAGACGTGTTGCTGCTTCAGTAGACGTTTCGTCTCCCTCAATCCTGTATACTTTCCCATACATTACATACTCAAATTGGTCAGCCCTGTGGAACAATAGTGGCAGTTACTGTTAAAAGTAGTTAACAGTTGCCCAGCTGGCATGGCTGAGTGGTTGAGCTTCAACCTATGAACCAGGAGGTCCTGGTCCAATAGTAGTAGTTAATAATAAGAGGTTCTTTAAAAGTGGTAACTGCTAACTAAGTGCCAGCATTATAACAGGCACTTTCCAAACACAATGTTATTTAGCCCTCACAGCAAACCTGTGAACTAGGTACAACCATCTGTCTTTTACTGATGAGAAAACTGAGGCTGAAAGAGGTTAAGGTTATTCAACAAATGAGTGGTAGGGCTGAGATTTTAACTCAATGGGGCTACAAACTCCCATCACATCAACCCCCGCCCCCCCAAGACCCAAGGCCCACACAGCCTAGATCATTCAGTGGTCATTTCCTCAGCCATCAAAAAACTACAGTTCAACCCAGCCAGCATGGCTCAGAGGTTGAGCATCAACCTATGATCCAGGAGGTCGAGGTTTGATTCCCAGTCAGGGCACATGCCCAGGTTTCAGGCCCGATCCCCAGTATGAGGTATGCAGAAGGCAGCCGATAATAACTCACTCTCATCATTGATGTTTTTACCTCTCTCTCCCTTCTTCTCTCTGAAATAAAAATATTAAAAAAAAAAAAAAGCTACAACTCACAAGCATGCAATCACTGCTCTGGATAAACAGCTAGTTAATTCTTAAGTGCAGCAATTTCCTTAAGGTTCCTCAGATTCTGCTGATAATTATTTATTCCACAAATTAAATAAAGGTCTTTGTATACCACTTATCTACTTAGTCCCCGGGCATCTTTCAAGTACTTCCTTCTCCACTCCCTCACCTGGAAGGTCTATCATCTGTGGGGTTGTATTCACCATCATCCAGGGTACCATCTTCATACAAGGTACTGGCTATGACCAACCGGAACTTGTCACCTAAAAGTAATAGAAATATCTGAGGGTGAAGAACAGCTGAAATGGCAAAAAGTCTCCTACTCTTGTCTGTGTTCAATACTTACCCAAATCTACAGGGTAAATCTGAATGTTTACATCTAAGATAAGGTCCATCTTGAAAGATTCACTCTCACAATGCAGCCGAGACACTGGAGAGAAGCAGAGAAAGAGTGGCAGGGGTTAACTGTCCGAGCCAAACTGACCCTGCAGACACCACTTTGGGATACCATATGCAATAGAAGACTCAATCTAACTCAATCTGCAACCATTGGCCTCTCGTGTGCTCTCACAGAAGTGCAGGCTCAATCAGAACCAGATATGCAAGAAGGAAAGGGGAGAAAAACCATGGCAAGTGGACATAATCCCGAGGAAAGAATCAAAAGTCCTCTGGCAACAAATAATATCCAGATTCTAGGTCTGCCTAGGTGATTAAGAAACAACCTGACTTTGGGTAAGTTATTTATTCATCCAAAGGTTTTGTCTTTCTGGGCCAGGCATTGTGCTGAGGGGGTTATCAGGCCACCTAAGACCACTGTTTGTCTTGAAGAACATCTCGGTTTCCAGGCAAAGGGTGAGAAACCAGAAAGAAACAATTATTGATCAATGACAGAATAAAGAGCAACTCATTATTATTCCAAGCAGTCAACTTGAACTCAGAGAGGGCTTCACAAAGAGCAAAAGATTCTAAGGGCAATACAAGAATATAGGTGGAAAGAGGCTTTACTTTGGGCAATAGGCACACCATGAAGGACGCAGATGATTTGCTGAGTTGTACACTTGAAACCTGCAGAGTTTTGCCAACCAATATCACCCCAATAAACTCAATAAAAAGATTTTTAAAAGAATATAGGTTCTGGAGTCGGATTACTTCTCGGAGCAAAATGGGTAACACACCACCTACCTTATGGAGACTCTTGAAAGAAGTAAGACAAAGCGTATAAGGTGCACAGTATAGCGCCTAACACAGTGGGCAGCGATCAGAAAAATGCCCAGGAACTTACTAGCACCACGAGCAAAGGCCACCCAGGCACCGGGCACAGCATGTGTGAACCCAAGGAGAGCTCGGAGTCTCCGTTCTCTCGTCGATAAAATGTTCCCTGAGGGAGGTCCCTACATCAGAACCTGACCATCGAGGCACGCCACCAGGGTTGGGTGGACCAGAGGCCCCGGGGCGTGTCCCCAAGGATCGGATTAGCCCTCACCCCAAACCGCCTCTACATACCTTACTTACCTCGGTCAAACTTCTTGCCCTCCGGGTCAATGTCTTTCACATCAAAAATATCCTCAAATAGAATGCCGGCCATGGTAAAGGGGCCACGAGAGTAGCACCGGAGGCTGAGCGCGCAGCCACGCCTAGGGGTACGCGCTCCCCCTCGCGCGGAGAAAACCAGGGAAGAGGGGAAAAGGCAGCGCCTAGAGAGCAGCAGCGAGGTAATAGAACGACGCATGCGCACCGACAGGCAGCAGCGCGGCCACTTCCGTCGCTTGGCTCTCGGGGCTTCCTAACTTCCGCCCCTACCCACTGCTTCCCAGAGACTTCGTGCTGAGGGCGGGGCTCCGACCAGATAACTCCGCCCGGGGCGGGACCACAGCGTCAGACCCCACCTCCCGCCGAGGTGGCGCGGTTTCTCGTTCTCAGCTGAGGCTCCGCTACAGGTCCTGTCGGGAAAACTGGAATGCATGGGGGCCTACCCCAGCCAGAGACCTTGATCCTTGGCCCAGAGAAGCCCAGCCCAGCCCAGCCCTACCCGGCCGGTCCTCAGGCGCGCGGAGGGCACAGTCCGCGCCGAGAGAGGGCGGAGCAGAACCCCGCCCCCAGAGCGCTGGCCCCGCAGGGCGCAGTACCCAGCCCCTACAGCTGGCACCGCGGCCCTTCAGGCCGGCCAGGCCCAGCTCGACCCTGCTGGATGTCATCCGAGCTGGGTCCTTTCAGTTTGGGAATTTGCCATGATGTCACTACGGGGAAGAGGAAAGCCTGCACTGTCCCTTCTCCTAGTACTGCACCCTCCCCACCGCTGTCCTCTTGCCCTGAGCCCTGCTCTCTTCCGCCACACCACCCCTACAGCCTGGCATTGACCCCATCGCACTGCCCTCCCGAGCACTGCCCCTTGAGCTTAGTACTGCCCGTTCCCCCTCCACTGTCCTCTCCCCCTGGACATTGATCTCCTATGTGCCCCTTCATCCCGGCACTGTCCTCCCCTACCGATACTCTTCCCTGACGTTTATTGCCCCTTCCTCTTGGATGCTGGCTCCTCTCACACTGCCCCCTTCCTGGGCACTGCCCCCTCCTCCGAGGCAACACCTCTGCGTCCCGCATGTCTCCTCATCCTGTTCCTCCTCTGGCACACTGCCTGCTTCCTGGGCACTGGCCTCTCCCCCGACACTATCTCTGCCACACACGAGGCGCATCCACCCTGTATGCACCCCACCCTCTGCCCTGTCCTTCTTCGGATCCCGATGGAGAACCAAGAGCCCCATCCGGCCATTCCCCCATGGCGGCGAGACGTCAGCGGCTACTTGGGTTTCTCCTTGGGCCCTGGCAGGAAGAAGCGACCTCTGTCCCTCCACGCCCGCCTCCCAGGAGCGCCCTCTCCCGCACCTCGACCTCCCTCCCTTCGGGCCTCACTCTCCC